GGGGGCAGGAGCTCCAACAAGGTGTTTAGGACAGAGAGTGAATACACATACTATACAGAGATGCTGTATGAGAAACCAATGTGAGTTTGGAAAATTGAACAATATAAATCTATTCTAGTAGACCTCAACAATGGAATTATGATCAGTAGAAATGGCCATGACATGGGACCTTTAAAACGACAATGTCACATAATTACACAAACAAACAAAACGGTAGACCAGTAACTTCCCTTTTCTGCAAAGTGAATTACTGTTATTATCAATGTAGTCTGGTGGTGGTCATTGATAAAGGCTTAAGTTATCCGTTAGAAAGGTCTGTCTGACGGCTAGATACACATAACAAAAAAAGTGTAAATGTAGTATACATTAAAACTAATTTATTTGTTTTTTTAAGGTGGTTAAAGAGTTTTCCGCTGCCCCCTTTCACAGGAGTACATTGCTTAGCTTCCTGCTGTTACCCTTGATTGTTTTTCTAAACTGCATTTGATGTAGGTAAACACTGAATATAGTTCCTCTTACAACCCCACTTCAAAAAATCCAAACTCTCCCTTTAATGCGCCACCTTAACTGTGCAGTTCAGTTTCCTACTTATTAGACCATTTATAGGTAAGTTGTATTTGCTCTCATCGGCATAAGCCTAAAACTCAGAGCTTCCTTTGATATTTTAAGATCCTTTGTCCTTCCTCGGTGTGAAACAACAGTCCTCCAAACTAAAAAATGTTTGTAGTAATACAATTCCTAATAAAACACTGTAATGGAAGCTCTACCTCACTAGTTTTCAGAGTGCAACTAACAAGCAATAGTAGTGCCTGTAGTGTTGTCACTTCAACCGGTTTGTGTTTTTTGTATTGGCATGGGTGCCCCTCAGCATAGCGTCTTGCTTGTTGAGACAAGGTACACACACTCCACAGTTGTCATTTCAAGCGATGTTTTGCATTCAAAGCCGACGGGAGTTCAAGCGCACACATTCTTGTGGTATTTGGGTGGAGCGAGCTGTCCTACGATTCGGAGGTGAAATCAAAGCAGTTGGCCTTGAGAAGCATGTCATGTGTATTTATAAGTGCATTGTTTTCCCCTTTTTTTAATGTTTGGGTTGGTGTGTGTGCACTCTGAATGTAGGTGTTTGTGTGGGATTTGTTGCTGCATGCTTTTGTTTTCTTTCTTCATTTAATACAAGATTTAAATGTATATATGTAAGAAAGTGGTGGAGTTAGTATTAGAGCTTTAGATAAGCACATTATCGGAGGCTGTTGTTGAACAGGTCACACCAGCATAATATTTTCTTCATGACAATTTGATTTGACAAATCAAAGGGTAGGATACATTCTAGGATTTCAACTTTTCTTAATTAGTTTTCATGATCATTTTGTATTGCAAATACATCTATAAAGAAGATGTATTGCAATAGAGTATCGGCTACTCTAAGTGTAAGGACTATCCAGTCCAGAAAATCTTACTGTAATTTCTAAATCTAATGATTGGATAACAGCCAAAATGTAAACATCATTTAATCTTATGATATAATGATGCAACCATACAGCTTCTGCAGTCCCTGGGTAGATATTTGGGATTTTTGGTATACAACAGCCATTTTTTCTTAAAAATGCTGAGTTAAGGGCAAGAAACGTTATGTGTTATTCTACATTTTGAATGGTTAATAATTCCTATAAAAAGACCAAAGCTACCAACACTTCTGATCAAGCAAACAGGAGGAAATTGTAAATTTCTTGGGACTATTTTCAGCGGCAGATTAATCCACATGTGGTGCTATAGTGAGTATTAGAGGCATTCATAGTCAAAATAAACTACTGTGTGTTCATGGTAAAGAAGGAACATGTCACTCAGTACAATAGTGTCCCTCATTGATGTGTTCTTAATAGTTGTTGGACAACAATGGAGCTCTATGGCACAGAGGAGTAAGCTTTATCAGGCTTGTATACACACAGTATTCCTAAGGAGATGCATTCTGTGATGGTTTGGGTCTTTTCATGGGACTTTTTAACAATGAGGAGAAAAACTAATCATCAGTTATCCCAAGGTGAGTATATTCTTGGAAACAAAACACATTTGTAATGAATGAAGCAAAACCTCTATATATGGTGATGCTATAGTTCTTTCCCATTTTATAGAAAGCATGACATCCATTGGTTTGAGTACATTTGGATATATTTCGCCTCACTCCATCTGTTATCACATTATATAGTTTGTTTTGTCACTCTTAATTTTTACCTTTCATGTGCGGTGAGGTTTCCTCAGCGTTTACTACTTTATCGAAGATCTGATCACATTACTGCTTTGTTTTATTCCTTGCTCAGGTAAACGCAAAGCTTTGAAGCTGAACTTTGCCAACCCTCCGATCAAACCCACCACCAGATTCACACTGAACACGGCCGGGCCGCCCTTCCAGAACCCGCACATGTGAGTGACCCTTCGTCTGTTGTCATGTCATCCTAAAATAAAGCCAGTAATGCTACATAATGATGTTTCAGTTGGTCTCTACCTTCACACACTCCTGTTTTCTGGCAGAGAGAGGCTGAGAACACACAGTATCGAGTCCTCAGGGAAGTTGAAGATCTCCGCGGAGCAGCACTGGGACTTCACGGCCGAGGATCTCAAAGACCTGGGCGAGATCGGACGAGGGGCTTACGGCTCCGTCAACAAGATGGTGCACAATCCCAGCAACCAGATCATGGCGGTCAAGGTGATCCATCTTTTGATATTCTAAAAAAAACATTACAAATCATAACAAATAGTGGGTTTTTTTCAATTAAAAGCACATCCCTTATGTTCACCTTTTTTGATGTTGAGTTAAACTTCATATAGTTCTACTCTCATTTTTCTTAATGAAACATTACGTTTGTAACTTTTCTTGTATTAACAGAATATTTATGTATCAAGATTTTTATGATACATTCAAGCACTACCAGGTAAAAATAAATTGGCAACGGTTTATTGTATGTTTTTCCGATAAACTTGAATTAATTCAGTTGTTTTAAGGACGTTTCATCACACCATTAATATGGCAAGAAAGGGAATTATGACTTTCCTTACAAAAGGTGAAACAACTATAGTTTTGGTGGTTCACTGAACACATTAAAACACTGGATACAGAAGGCCGTTTAACATTTTATTGGTTTGTGGATGGTACAACATGGGTGTCAATGGATGTGGATCTCTAAATAAAAGAATATTGGCAACATATTACAGGTCTTACAATATGGACAAGCATAATAATCCTGAATAAGGTTAATTATTTTACTTCATACTATCATACAACGCAGCCACAGGAGTAAACTACTTACTTTTCCTTTAACATTGACACTAGTGATTCAGGTAGAGAGGAGACTTGGGAGTTTTAACAAAATGGGTATATGTTAAAAGGATTTTAGTTACTACAGTGACATTTAATTGGGTTTGCAGGGTCATGGAATTTCACTGGTATTGATATTGACCAATAACTTTCCAATCTAGTACCATACCTAATCTATGTGAAGATTTCCACTATGTGTTTGTTTTTTTATAATTCTGTGCATTGTTTTTTTTCCCACAGAGAATTCGATCCACAGTTGATGAGAAGGAGCAGAAGCAGCTGCTGATGGATCTGGACGTGGTCGTGAGGAGTAGTGACTGTCCTTACATCGTGCAGTTTTACGGTGCTCTGTTCAGAGAGGTGCATACCATTTTCTACATTATTCTTTTCATTGTATTAACCTCTGTTTAATTACTCTTTTATCTTCTTTGTGCTGTCATATTTTATAAATGTGTGTTTATAAATTGAACTTCTCAAACTCATGACTACCTTTCTTGTGTTTCAGGGCGACTGTTGGATTTGTATGGAACTTATGGCTACCTCGTTAGACAAATTTTACAAATTTGTATATTGCTCATTAGACGACGTGATTCCTGAGGAAATATTAGGAAAAATAACATTAGCTGTAAGTTGTTCTTGGACCACTTTTAAAAAATGTAAATGCCTAATGTTCGATTCCTGCTGCCTAAGATTCCATTTTGTTTTGCAGACTGTGAAGGCACTTAACCACTTAAAAGAAAACTTGAAAATAATACACAGAGGTAAGACGATACATAATCTCATCATTAACTTATTTTATAGACTCTTATTGGTAGAAAATCAGGTCTCTTTTTTAACCTTTTCTCTCCTCCCTCCCTCAGACATTAAGCCGTCAAACATCCTCCTGGACAGGAATGGCAACATCAAGCTGTGTGACTTCGGCATCAGCGGTCAGCTGGTGGACTCCATCGCCAAAACCAGAGATGCAGGCTGCAGGCCCTACATGGCTGTAAGTAACTCTCTCCTTGTTAAAAATGATGATGCTACACACTAAAAGGGGCCTTATTATTCTCAGTTCATTTTTATATTTAGTGCCTCTACTGTGACATGTCTCCATGCTCTAATTTTCAAAAAGCTCTTTATTTTTCTCATACTGCCTATGCTGCAGCACCTCTTTTTTCACCCTCTGTCTGAAACCAGAGCCCAGTCTGCTCTGATTGGTTAGCTGGCCGACTCTGTTGTGATTGGTCAACCGCTTAGAGATGTCCTGTCCCTTAGCATATCATGTACAATATGTTGGAGTGCTAGCCAGTAGAAGAGTGAGTGTATATAGTGATATCACTATGTTACGGAAGTAAACTAAGGAGTCCAATGGAGGTTTTTCGACAGGAGGCGGGGACACCCTCTGGCACCAACTTTGGGACTTTAGCCTTTACAATAGCTACACAGTGCTTTCTGCTTCCATACTGTTTTCTGCCACACTCAAAACTGGTTTCTGATACAACAGCACGAGCAGCTTGAGAAAACAAATATTATAACAAGCGCACTTATGCCCCTTTCACAGCAACGCGGTTCCAGGGCCGGTTCGGAGCTAGAGCCTGAAAAGCACCTGTTTTTCCTGTTCACACCGCAGCGGAACCGCCTCTAAGCTCCGAAAACCGCCTCTAAGCTCCGAAAACCGGTGCTTTTCAAGCACCAACAATTTTTCGGTCTAGAAGCAAGCAACACTCTTACGTCGGAGGCGGGGGCAGGGGTAGGGGCGGGATCAACCTGAGCAATAACAGTTCATGGCGAGTCCGGCAAATTAAAGTTGTAACAAGCAGTAGCGCTGACCAAAGTGACTAGAATGCAACCACACAGTTATTTAAAAAAACGCACTTTATAAAATCAGGCAACACTAACCAGGCTTAGTGTGATTCTGTTTATTTGTACCTTACTTTGACCATCCGCTCGCTGTCATTGATCATTGTGGAGAGCAGGCAGACGTTTTGTTTTGTATTATAGCAGCTATCGGATGGAATCCATACATGGGTTGCACAGGTTGTCATGACTCATGTCCGACTATCACAAGTAGAATCATAATGAAAAATACGCCGGTAAAATGTGCCTGTAGAAAACAGCTTATGTAATAGGATAGCAACAAGTAGTCAAGATAGTCATTTTAACTTCGGTTGCTATGCTAACATCACCCATTTTATACCAGAGAAACTTTCATAACAGCGTTGTGATGCCAAACAGC